TTAACAGTTTTTTGGGTAATCACTTTTTGAAACACCCTCTGATGAGTAATTTAATTGTAGAGACCAGCAAAGAGGATATGTAACTTCAAGACTGACTGAGCCAACTGAAATTTGAATTGTCTTCTCTCTTTCCAATGACTCTTCAAGATACCTTACCCATGAAATTTTTATTAAGATTATTAAAATTACATTACCAATGCCATTTTATAAATTGGATACTACTTGTGTTGGTATCAGCTTCATTCATCTTCCTATTTGTAGAATTTATGAGTGAGAAGAAGGTGGTTTTTCAAGATGTCCAGAAACTTTGCTGCTTGGCCAAGCTATTCCTCTCTTTTACAGCAGCCACTAGGCTCAATCAGATCATGGATGCTTCTTCCAGAGATTCATCAGCAGAAAGAATAGGTCCTTTGGCTATTCTTTCTATTGAACAAATGGAAAAGAATTTGCTATTTTTAGAGCTATTCAAGACATTTGTGATGGAAAATCAAATGAATGAATGTAGCCTTACTTTCCTGTTAAAGTTTCTTGCAGACAAGCTTAGATTTTTCCTTTTAGAGTTTTCAAATATTCAAGTAGCTATTTTTATACAAGTTTTATTCTCCAGATTGTTTACCATAGCTTGTTTTGTTTATGAGCTTCTAGGATTTTAAATTAATGCTCATTTGGCTAAGAGGATTCTAAAGCCCAATATATGCCATTGTTTCACTCCTAGAATACTTAGGTAAAGCTCTTTTAATTTTTGCTACTGAAAGTGCATTAGAATCTGTGTTATGTAAATTCCATAGATATCCCTGGGTCTAACAGCAAAAATCTCTTTTACAGATGTTTAGAATAAAATGAAAGGATCTTCAGATCCCGGGGCTATGAATTCATAGCTTGAATCCTAAAGCATGTTTGTGAGTTGTTTATGGCTCGGCCCAGGAGGGTACTGTGAAATAATCTCTCTGCCAATAACCAGGTGATGTTACACTGATGTGTTAGGTCTCTACTTTGATTTAGCAATGACTTGTCTGGCCTAGAACTAACTCCATATGGTGCTTCTTATTAACCTGTTGGAAGGAACAGAGCTTGTCCAACCTTCTGTTTGTAGCCTGCCGGCAAAAAGATGAAAGCTCTTGCTCATAAAAGGGTGGATGTAGTGTCAGCTGCTCCTGTGGCTGGGCTGAGTTTAACAAAACACTGGTGTGATGTGACTTTCCCTCCTAGACCTAGTCGTTCTTGTGAGTCTGAAGCTGCAGGCCTGAATGATCCTAGGCAGAAATAGGTTGACTGAAAAAAGATTTTTCCTCTGAAATTTTTCAGCTGGACCAGTCTTGGATTTATTGGAGAGAATCAGCCCATGTCGTAGGTTTAGTTTTTAATTTAGGGCTTCTAATATGGCTTCTTAGCTAATGTCCTTCCAAGTTTTGCGCCACAATATTTTGATTAGGCAGCTTCTAACCTAGTTGGTTTCCCAAAATGCAAACAGAAGGGATGTTGTTATCTTGTGCCC